TACGATACAAGGCAGGCTGTGTGTGCCCAATGTAGATGTCTTGCGTGAGTTGATTATCCAGGAAGCTCAAAGTTTGTAGTAATCCATTCATCTAGGTGTCGCGAAGATGTACCAGGACTTGAGGTAGCACTATTAGTGGAGGCAGATGAAGAAGGACATAGTGGAATATGTAGCTCGGTGCCTAAACTGTCAGCAAGTGAAGTACGAGCATCAGCGGTCTGGTGGATTGCTTCAAAGGTTAGATATTCCATAGTGGAAATGGTAGCGGATCACTATGGATTTTGTTGTTGGACTCCCACAGACTCGGAGAAAGTTCGATGCAGTATGGGTGATTATGGATAGATTGACCAAGTCAACTCATTTCATTCCAGTGGCAACTACTTATTCTTCAGAGCAGTTGGCTCAAATTTATATTTACGAGATTGTCAGGCTTCATGACGTGCCGTTATCTATCATCTCTAACAGAGGTACTTAGTTTACATCGCGGTTCTAGAGAGCCGTACAGCATACGTTGGGCACACGGGTGGAGTTGAGTATAGCATTTCACCCTCAGACGGACAGTCTGCGCGCGTGTGATGGATTTTGGGGGTTCTTGGGATCAGTTCTTGCCACTTACGGAGTTTTCCTACAACAGTTATCAGTCGAGCATTCTGATGGCACCGTATAAGGCTTTGTATATAAGGAGGTGTCGATGTCTGATGGGTTGATTTGAGCCAGGTGAGGCTAGGCTGTTGGGTACAGATTTCGCTCAGGATGCTTTGAAAAAGGTTGAATTGATTCAGGATCGACTTCGTACAGCCCAATCCAGATAGAAGAGTTATGCGGATCGGAAGGCTCGCGACATTACATTCATGGTTGGGGAGAGGGTTTTGCTCTAGGTTTCGCCCATGAAGAATGTTATGATGTTCGGGAGGAAGAATAAGCTAAGCCCTAGGTATATCGGGCCTTTTGCGATTCTTGAGAGGATTGGGGAGGTGGCCTACAGACTTGCACTACCACCTAGTCTAGCTGCAGTTCATCCAATGTTCCATGTTTCAATGCTACAAAATTATCACGGCGATCTGTCTCATGTGTTAGACTTCAGCTCAATCCAGTTGGACAAGGATCTATCTTATGTTGAGGAGCCGGTGGCCATTATGGACAGGCAGGTTTGGAAGTTAAGGTCGACGAACATTGCTTCAGTTAAGGTTCAGTGGAGGGGTCAACTAGTCAAGGAGGCGACTTGGTAGACCAAGCATGATATGCGTAGCCGTTATCCTCATATTTTTACCACTACAGGTATGTCTCTATACTCGTTCGAGGACGAAAGTTTGTTTACAGAGGGGGAGGATGTAACGTACCGATCGGTCTCTTAGAGAGTATTAGCCCCGATACCCTATTTATTTCTCCTTTTATTTCATTTTATGGTTGCGTGACTTGGTTGGATGCCCAGTGTTGGGTTCGGGAGAGTTTCGTGTAGAATGGGACACATAGTCCCTAAATTAGAAGTTTAAGTCATAGGAGTTGATCGTAGGTTGACCTGTGTGAAGACGACTCCGTAATGGAGTTTTGATGGTTCTAGTAGCTTTGTATGGTGATTTTGGTCTTAAGAGTGAGTTCGGATGTTGATTTGGAGGTCTGTAGGTCATTAATTGATGAAAGTTGGAAAATTCATGGAATTTTGGGAAGTTTGACTGGAAATGGACTTTTTGATATCGGGGTCGGATTCCGATTTCGGAAGTTTGAATAGTTCTATAATGTCAATTGTGACTTGTGCGCAAATTTGGTGTCAACCGGAGTCGTTTTGGTATGATTCAGCGTCGGTTCCGAAATTTGGAAGTTCATAGTTGTTAAGCTTGAATTTGGGTTGCGATTCATTGTATTCAGGTTGTTTGATGTGGTGTTCGGCCTCGAGTAGGTCCGTTAAGTGTGTTGGAAATAGTTGGCATATTCGGACGGGGTCCGGGGGGCCTAGAGTGTGATTCGGATCGTTATCGGATCAAGTTTGGATTGTTAAGACTGTTGAAGCTGGGATGTTCTAGTGTTATCGCACCTGCGGAGGGATTTATCGCAGGTGCGGGCTCGCAGAAGCGAGCTAGTGAACGTAGGTGGGAGAATGGCCTTGTCCAAAAGTGATCGCAGAAGCAGATTATCCGCAGAAGTGCCTTCACTTCTGCGATGGCAGGTGCGCAGAAGCGCCAGTAGTCGCAAGTGCTATCCTTTCTCCCCGCAAAAGAGGTCTTGCAAATACGAGACCCTATCCGCAGAATCCCTGGACTTAAGTTTTTTCCGCACCTGCGATGGCTTTTCCGTAGGTGCGGCGTCACAGAAGTGCTTCTTGGGCCGCAGATGCGGTTTAACTGGGCAGAAAAGGGGAAATATTGAGGGTTTGCTCTCATTTTCATTTTGGGACTTTGAGAGATCAGATTGAGGCGAGATTTTGAGGGATTTTCAGAGGAAGCATTTGCGTAAGGATTCTTGACTCATTTTTGATTAATTCCCATAAATCTACTGTTAATTTCACCTTTTAGTTATGGTTTTGGAGTTTAAAATTGGGGAACAAATGTAGAAGTTCTTATACCAAGTGTTTGGGTTTTGAAAGACTAAATGAGATCGGATTTGGATAATTATTGTATGGTTGGACTCGATATCGAATGGGTGTACGTATTTTATAATTTTGGTCGAGTTCTGAGACGTGGGCTTGGGTCGACTTTTTGGGGCGATTTTTTCAATTATTGCTAAAATCATAATTTCATTATTTAGATTAGTTTCCTATAGTTATGTTTATAGTATGTAATTGGTTTTGTCTAGATTTGAGTAGTTCGGAGTCGGAAAGTCAAGGGAAAGGCCTTCTTATTGATTGATTGAGCGAGATTTGAGGTAAGTGACTTGTCTAACCTTGTGTGGGGAAATTCCCCTTGGGATTTGGTAATGTTATGCTAATTTGCAATATGTGAAGTCCGTATAATCAAGGTGACGAGTGTGTACACGGGCTAAATATTGAAAATTCGGTTCTAGCTTAGTAGTTTCCTTTTTATTCCCTAATTGAGTTACTTTAGCATGTATAGTCATCACGTTTAGCCTAATTTCACAAGTCTACTTGTCTTATCTCTTATTTGCAACTTGTACTACTTGCTTAGTTGAATCATCTACTTTATTGATTCAGTATTCATTATTTAGCATTAGAAGTCCTTACTTGAAATTTGCTATCCTTGGAATATCATTGTTTCAGTTGTTATGTTTTGGTTTTCGTGGTTATTATTGAGGTGACTGTTGTGATTGTAGCACGAGGTTTCTGCCGCGTGGTTGTTATTATTGCACGAGGTTTCTGTCGTGTCGTTGTGATTATTAATACGCATGCAGTGGTATAAGATCAGGAAGTTGAAACGCATGCGGTAAGATAAGGTGGGCTTGATACGCGTGGCTAGTAGGGGAACTACTAAAAGTCATGCAGTGTGATAAGGTGGGCTAAAGTGCGAGATGCTATTTTGGGAAAAATAATTTTCAAAACAAAATATAAAGGCTCCCACAGTGATATAAGGAAAGTATGTGAGATATTTACTTTTGGGACCACGAGGCGGTACCTCGGGAGCGCCCCTGTTGATTTCCTCTATTTGTTGTATTATTTGCTGTTGTAGTTCCTTAACTTGTAAGATTTTTGCTTCCTTTCATGTTGTATTTGTCTTCTTTGATTCCGTGTTGTTGCATTCCGTAAATTGTTATTGTTTCACTTCCCTATCATTTTATTATATCATTATATCTTCTGCCTTGTTTCTTATTATTTCTAGTAGGGCCCTGACATGACATCGTCACTATTCTACTGAAGTTAAACTTGGCACTTACTGAGTACCGTTGTGGTGTACTCATATTACACTTCTGCACATGTTTTTGTGCAAATCCATGTACATCATATCAGCCTCGATATTAGAGTATTGTGTTGCTGCTTGGAGACTTCAAGGTACACCTGCCCACGTCCTCAGGCCTCGGAGTCCTATTTTATCCCGTCTTTTCCTTGTTTCCTTATGTTTTTATAGAGAGTGATGTATAGGATATTTGCAACACTATATCTAGATCTTGTGACTTATATCTACCGGGTTTTGGGAGTTGTTTATACTTTGAGTTGCAGTTTTTATTTATTACAGTTGTTGACATTTTGAGTTTTAGCTTAATATTTTCGTTATTCCGCATACTTGTTAGGCTTACCTAGTCTTAGAGACTAGGTGCCGTCACAAAATCCTATGGAGGGGAATTGGGGTCGTGACACCTTGTGATTATTGCATTGTTAATTATGATTCTATGGTTAGTTTAGGTTATTACTTTTTGTTTTTAAGCAACTATTCCACTCGGCAGCACTTGCCTAGTGGATAATATATAAATAAAATCTCAAAATGGGTCCAAAGCTTACAAGATGTCCAAACCAAAATAGAAGTTGCATGAAGCTACTAGCTATTAAAAAGATAGAAAAGCTAACATCTAATGAACTAGCTATTACAACATAATAAGTTGAATGCTTTCTTCTCCTATCAGTGTATGTGAATCCAATTGTCATTGGCAAATACCAAGCAGCACCTATCAAGCTCTCACCAGGCGCCAGGGTATATTGTCCATAGGCTAAAATGAATTCCAAACATCTCCACCACAGAGTTGAAGCCAGCGTAGTCTTCCAAGTGTAGCTACTATATGATCTCCATATGCAGCGAACTGATTTTGTCCAAGTATTAATCATGTGCTCACTCATCAGAATTAATGTGTAGAAGAGGAGCCTGGCTTTAGGCAGGCTTTGCAAGGCAAAAGCCAGGCTTGAGCTGGCTTTAGGCAGGCTTTGCAGTGCAAAAGTCAGGCTTGAGCTGGCTTTAGGCAGGCTTTGCAAGGCAAAAGCCAGGCTTGAGCTGGCTTTAGGCAGGCTTTGCAAGGCAAAAGCCAGGCTTGAGCTAGCTTTAGGCAGGCTTTGCAAGGCAAAAGCCAGGCATAAGCTGGCTTTAGGCCGGCTTTGCAAGTCAAACGCTAGGAATGAGCTGGCTTTAAGCAGGCTTTGCAAGGCAAAGGCCAGGCTTTGAAACTGTGCCTTTTTGTGATCTTGTAAGCTCGGATCCTTCCCAACTAGAACCTTTAATGTAGACATCATTCTAAAAATTGCTAAACCATCCTCAGATTGAGCATGAAAGCATGCTAATACTACTGAGAAATGATTCAACAATCTCCAAAAATACCATATGATAGGTTCAGCATTTTCCTTAGCATTTGAACATATCAGAAGTGGGATAAATTGTACCATCCGACACTTGCTTATCGCATTTTTACTGTACAATATCAAAGCACCCCCAGAATGAGCATGAGACCATGCTAATACCATTGGAAAGTACCTTAATAGCATATTGAATGAGACAAAGAAAATGCAGGTTTGTGCTGAGTCCAATCCTGTGAAGCAATCAGTCTGTGGTTCTTCTCTTTGCTATCCTAACCCTAAGGTTAGGTGATTGAGATTTTTCTAGATTGATCAACCTCCTCCCTGCACTAGGCAGTTCAGAGAATGAATGAAACTCAGATGTTCCTACAAAAGAAAATACAATATTAGCTATAAAATCCGCCACTGAGTTGCCTTCTCTGAACACATGTTGAAAGACCACATTGAAGTTTTCCTTCATCTCTATAATTTTCTTCACATCCTGTGCAATTACCCAAGGAGGATCCCATTCCCCTTCTATCACCTTCTTCATCACCAACGAATCAGTCTCCAATATCAGAGGGTGAAGATCGTGCTCCACACAGTATTCCAACCCTTGAAGAATAGCCTTAGCTTCAGCTACCACATTAGTTGTCACTCCCATGTCTACTGCCCTAGTATACACCATATCACCTTCATCATCCCTCACACAAAATCCTAGGGAGCTAGGTCCAGGATTACCCTTTGAGGCTCCATCAGTATTACATTTGTACCAATCATGAAAAGGAAGCTGTCATGTTACTTTTGTAGTGATCAATATAGGTTTATATCCATCAAAGTATTGAATCATGTATGGCCATAACATTGGAATATTAGGCATCCAAGCATACCTCACCCTTGCCAGTTGATGCAATGTCCTATTTATCTCATGAATCACCCTATTTATGGACACTGAACTCCCATGTTTACCTGCATTTCTTCTCTTCCAAAGCTCCCAAGTGATGATAGCTGGTACTGCTTGAAACAGTGGCTTTAATTTTGGACAACACTGAGCATACCACCAATGTCTAATAACCTGCTTCAATTGAATCAATGGCACAGTAATTCCAGCCGCCCCCATGAAGAAGTTCCATACCGTAGAGGTAGTAGGACTTGTGACAAATATATGCTGAATGGATTCCTCTTGGGGCTGCTGACAACACCAACACCTAGACATCACCATTTGCCCTTTCCTCCTCCACATGTCATCAGTAGCTATTTTCTGCCTCCACAATCTCCACAAGAAGAAGGATATCTTGAAAGGCAAACCTTTAATCCACATTAACTTGAATTCCTTATTAGGATCAGCTCTATGCCTTAATATTTGCCAAGCACTGCTAACACTGAACTTGCCTGAAGGAGTTGGCATCCAGTATGGCCTATCCCAATATCCCTCATTGCCTTCATAATGCATATTTAGCCTTATATGTTCTGAAACTTCCTCATTGAAAGTTTGATCTAGCAGCTGAACATCCCATATTTCCCCTTGCCGCAGTTCTGCCACCTCCTGAAGATCTTCATTGATTGGAAAGTCTTCAGGTAATACGTGATGAAGTGCACCCAATCCAGTCCAATTTTCATGCCAAATATTAGTGGTTCCACTCTTCAATTCCCATACAATCTCATGTTCTACTTCTTCCCTAGCATTCAGCATTTGTCTCCAAACATGAGACCCTTTCCTAAAATGCACCATTGTGGGTAGCTCCTTCTTGCAATACTTATTCCACGTGAAATTAGACCACAAAGATTTTGTGGTCCTAAACCTCCACCATAGTTTAGCAAACAGTGCCCTTGAGACATCATGTAAGGACCTAAAACCTAGGCCCCCTTCCTCTGTAGGAAGGAAAAGATTTTGCCATGAAGCCCAGTGTCTACTTCTCCCTTCTTCCTTTGTGCTCCAAAAGAACCTAGCAAAAATCTTATGTAGATGCTCCAGGATGTTGTTTGTTGGATCAAGGACTGATAACATGTGAACTGGCATACTTTTCAACACACTAGAGATGAGTGTTGCCTTTTTTTTCCAAATGACAGCAGCTTTCCTTTACATGAATGCAATTTAGCCTTCACCTTCTTGATAAGATCCTCATAATAGTCCTTCCTCGTTCTAGTGTAAAAAATAGGACATCCTAGATATGTGAAGGGGAATTTACCTCTTGCAAATCCTGTAATAGCTCCAACTGCCTGAAACAATCCATTAGCAACCTTTGAATGCATGTAGTATGAACTCTTATCTTTGTTGATCATCTGACCTGATATCTTCTCATAGTTCCCCAACACTGCCATAATCTTGCTCAAGGAGGGAAGATAAGCAGATGCAAAGATTATGGTATCATCAGCATATGCCAAATGGTTTAAAGGATCAGACCACTTAGGCATTCCAAATCCCACAAATGACCTGTCTTCAAAGAGCTTATTCAAAGACTTGGAAAGTACCTCAGCTGACAGAATGAACAATGCTGGAGATAGGGGATCCCCTTGCTTCACACCCCTTGTAGACTTAAAGAACCTTGAGGACTTCCCATTCACCAATACTGAATACCAGTTATTTGATATCAAGCTCCACACCATGTTGATGAAGTGCTCAGAAAATCCCATCTTCCTTAGCACATGCAACAAGTACTTCCATGAAACCCTATCATAGGCCTTTGCCATATCAAGCTTGATCACCACATTAGCTGGCTTTCCACTTAACCTTATGTCAGTGACAATTTCTTGAGTCAATAAGATGTTCTCAAATATACTCCTACCCTTTATAAATTCGGATTGATTAGGAGATATTAGAGATGGCAGTAAACTCTCCAATCTGTCATGTAACACCCTAGACAAGACCTTGTTAGTGAAGTTGCTCAAACTAATAGGTCTTAAGTCAGAGAAGGTCTCAACTCTAGGTTTCTTGGGTAGCAACACTAGATTGGTGTAAGTGATGGATTTAGGCAATGCAGCTCCTCCATAGAAGTGTAGCACCATGTTGTGTATATCAGCACCAATAACATCCCAGCATGTTTGATAAAACAGGACATTGAATCCATCAGGACCACTAGCACTGTCCCCACTAAGCTCAAAAACTTCTGCCCTTACTTCTTCAATTGTTGGCAATCTGCTAAGTTCCAAATTCTGATCCATGGTGACCATTGAAGGTACATTATTGAGCAAGGAAAATTCAGAAGCATCACCTTCATTTGTGAACTGTTTTTGATAGAATTCCACTGCAGTTGTAGCCAATTGCTCCTGGTCTTCAATACATACCCCACTGCCACTTTTAATCCTCTTCAGTTGCAATTTCTTTCTTTTGCCATTGACATGATTGTGAAAGAAACTTGTATTCCTATCTCCTTCAGCAAACCAAATCATCCCAGCTTTTTGCTTTCAATACTGCTCCTCAATACTCAAGTATTTCTTCAATTCAAATTGAGCCTTTTGAAGAACAATCTTATTCTCAATTGTAGGCTCTTCTTCAAACAACATCTCCTTCACCCTAACAATGTCCTCCAAAATAGCCAATTGCTTGAAGATATCACCAAATGTTTCCCTACTCTATTTTGAAAGTGCTGCCTTCACCCTCTTGATATTCTATTTGAATATCAAAAACGGATCCCCTATAAAATCAGCTTCCCAATTCTGCCTCACCACATCCATGAATGTAGCATGCTTTGTCCAAAAGTTCAAGAACCTGAAAGGCTTGACAAAATTGGTTGTCTGCTCCCCACATATCATTAGCAGTGGTGCATGATCTGATCCAGTTCTGATTAGATGCTCAACTTCAATAGTTGGCAACATGTTCTGAAATGAAAAATTCACAAAAATCATATCGAGACTCTTGAATATACACTCAGCATTGGATCTCCCATTCCACCATGTGAATGGACTTCCTTTGTACCCTTGCTCAAACAAACCACAAGAGTTTACACAAAATGCAAAATCCTCATATTCAGGAAGGTGCACTGGAAGTCCCCCTATTTTCTCATCTTCATGCAATACCACATTGAAATCCCCTCCTACCAACCATGGTAATTCCATATCACTTGCTAAGTAATACAAGTGATCCCACAATTCCAACCTCTCCATTGCTGAACATTTTGCATAAACAAATGGCATCATCATGTGCTGCCCCAGGTCATGGTGAAACACTCTCACAGTCACTTGTTGCTTAGTATCCTCCACTAATTCCCATTCCACCACTGCATCGAAGAACAACCATATTTGCCCATTAATATTTGCATAAGAAGTCTCCATATTCAACCTCCTTCTATATCTATCAATAAGTCCCTTCTTTTTAAAAGGCTCCATCAATGCAACTACATAAATATTATGCTCCCTATTCATGTTGATCACCCTAGGAAAGGCCTGTTGTGTATTCATGGACCTTATGTTCCATATTAATGTTTTGATCATCATCATTTAGATAGAGAAGTTGGCCTCCTGGGCATTATTCTTGAAGGTTGTGGTGGATCTTTACTATGATTCTTAGTTTTCTTACCTCCTTTAGCACTAGTTGTGGGTGATAAATCCCCTTCTCTAGCTACTTGTTTGAAGTTTTCTGCAGTTGATTCATCATCTCCTTCATCCTCCATTGGATTTTGTCTCAATAAGTCTTCACCAATTGGTGTCACATTGTGTGTAACTAAATCATGTAAATGTTGTACAGGAGTCTTAAGTGGAACATTAAGATGTAGTTGCATAATTTGATCAGTGCCAAATTCCATAGGCGCTTCCTCTATTTCCCCAGATGCTCTTGGAACAATTGCTTGCTCATCATCCTTTTCATACTCCTTGAATTATAGATCATAGACACTACCTAGCCTAGGAGTTACTGTAGTCGTCTGCTCTGAAAGCACTGTTCTAGTGAGATCACCACCCTTCCCATTGCCTGATATTTGGTCTGAACCCACTATATCATCCCTAATCTTCACATCAACATCTCCGTCAAGTTTGTTCTCTAATGCATACACCGGAACACCATCTACATAGGCCAAAATCTCTCCAGTTGCACTAAGGTTGGGGTTTACTGTATCTGCCTCATCAGGTGAACCTGGCCTTAGGCCTGGCGTTGCCAGCCTAATGCCAGGGGAGCCTAGATTTAGGCCTGGCATCGCCAGCCTAACGCCAGGGGAGCCTGACTTTAGGCCTGGCGTCGCCAGCCTAACGCTTGGGGAGCCTGGCGTCGCCAGCCTAACGCCTGGTGAACCTGGCTTTAGGCCTGGCGTCGCCAGCCTATCGCCAGGTGAGCTCAGCTTGTTGTCCTTCTTCCCCTTGTCTTCTGTTGTCTTTGTTTTGCCCAGCTGATCATCCTTAACCTCAACTGCATTGCTCCATAAGACCTTTGTAGAGTTTACCTCATCAAGATCCTTAACCTGCCCAGACTCTTTTAAATTGTCTGAGATGGAATCTCATGACAAGATTGGTTTGTGGTCACATAGAGTTGTTTTGGCTCCTCTTTGCTAGTCCCAAACCTTCTATGAACCCAGTCGATTGTGGACTGAATCCCAGAAGGAGTAGGACCATCTTTAGAACTGAAGACTGGTTTTTCCCCCACCAAAACCAGTTGGTTGTTCTCGTTTATATCACTTTGTTCCTCCTCTAATACTGCAAATTTATTCCTTACTTGAATTTTGTTTGTCTGATCTTCTTCGACCTCTACCAGTGCAAAGTTATTTGTAGTGTGCACCTGCTGTACACCAGCATTCACTGGCACGATTGCATTGCCAGTTTGCCCTTGTACCTGGGTTTTGTTCTTTTTGTTGGTTCCCCGATTATCCCGAACTTCCTTCCACTGTTCACCTACGTTCCCGACTACTTTTCCACTTGTGAGAATCATTAAAGGGGTAGTGTGATTTTTGGTTTTTCCTTGTTCATCAGCAGCAGGATTCCAGTTGTTCGACTTAGCAAGATCATTCCTTTTCTCGCTGCTTCGATTCTCAATAAGCTCGGGGTGCAAATGCCAACATTCAATTTCATCATGTCCTTGTAGTTTACACTCCTTACAATATTTTGGTAGCATGTCATACTGAATTCTCACCCATTCTGTTCGAACACCACCAGAAGCTTCATCATCAATATCCAATCGCAGCTTTTTAGGTTGTTCGGCCAACAAATCGACAAGAACTTTTACTCTTGCGCAGCTCGGCCTCGTTTTGTTTGTAGTTGCCGCATCAAGACACACTGGCCTTACCATAGCTGTAGCCAAAGAAAAAAGAGTTTCTTTTACAAAAAAGGTAGGCAGCAGTCCAGGAAAAGAAATCCACGCCATCGCCATCGGAGTTTCTTCACCCGCCTTAAATTTTGCATCGTAGATAAGAGTACGCAATTGGTATTCGTACCCATCTTTGGCTTTTATGTAATACGTACTCTTCGATGTGAAATTGAGGAAGTCTTGCCATAGATTTAATCTAATTAACACATGATGATCTCTAAGGAATATGAAATTACACTCACCTTTGATACCACATTGACTTGGAATTATTTGGCGAAGCTCGTGAATCTTCGGAGATCCATAGAAAGCTTGCCAACGACAGCATATTGTAGGCCTTCAATCACGTTTGTTTGATCTACTTCTGCCTCTGTGAATTTAACCACTGGTTGGCCATTCAAATACACTGCTCATTGCAATGGAATGGGTTGAATTGAAGCTGCAGCAGTAGCCATCGCTGGAGGATTTAAAGTATTTGGTTTCAAAATCTTAGAGTAATCTAGAGGAGCTGGTTTGGAGTTAGTTGTTGTATGTTGTTGTGCGACGCTGGGGGAGGGAAGACCAGCCGGAAAAGATGGCTGGTCGCTGGCCATTGTAGACATTGAAGCCTAAAGCTCCAGTTTGTCCGCGATGAACAGTAACGAAGTCACTGTTCACGGTACTGTTTGGCACTGTTCACTGCTACAGTGACGGCGAAAATTTGAGAGAACCAATTCTAGAGAGAGAATTTTTCTAACCTCATTACTTCTTTGATTATTCCTCATTACTTCTTTGATTATTCCTTTCATAATTATTTCTTATTTCATAATTGTAGAGTATTTTGGAAGTTAAAGTTTGGAATCTTGGCATCATATTGGAGGTTAAATACATTCTCCGCATTATTTATTTCTCAAATTCATATTATCTTCACCACATTGTGAGGAAGAGAGTAAAAGCAGGAAGGAGTGATGCCGTGCCATTGCATTTATCTCATTTACTTATTATTATATGGTGAGGAAGAGAGTAAAAGAACGAAGGGTGATGTCGTGCCATTCATCTCATGTATTCTTTGTTACATAGTAAGGACGAGATTAAAAGCACGAAGGGTGGTGTCATGACATTTCATTTATTTATATCATTATTTCATGGTAAGGACTGGAGTAAAAGCACGAAGGGTAATGCCGTGCCATTTTCATATCATTGGTTTATCTGATTTCATTGGTTGATGATTTATTCGGCTATCAAATGATTTCATACCAGTCGTAGTTGTCATATTTTTCCACTTTTTGCATGTCCCCTCCCAGTTTGTACGTTATTATTCTCTGTTATTGTTACTGCTTCATATATACTTGTACAAGTTTATTTATGTAGGTGTACTGTCATAGCCTCGTCACTACCTCGTTTAGGTTGGGCTCGACACTTACAGAGTACATTGGGTCGGTTGTACTCAGACTACACTTTTGCACTTCTTGTGCAGATTCTGGTATTGGTCCCAGCGATGCGTGAGGTGTGTCAGCTCGGATCATTGCATACGGAGACTTGAGGTAGATTTGCTGGCATCCGCAGACCTAGAAGTCCCCTTCATCTTCCCACTTTTACTGTTCATTTCCTTCGAAAGAGTTGTATTTATTTCAGACTCTGTTTGTAGAACTTCTAGTTACTCGTGTACTCATGACTTCGGATCTTTGGGAATAGATATTATCATATGACTTATGTATGTACTATATCATATTGGGTTTCTATTTCTCGTTGTATATCATCATTGTGTTTTAACTATTTAAAATTGGGTATTTAATTATTTCACATCGGCTTTCCTAGCAAGTGGATGTTAGGCGCCATCACGACCTCGAGGTTGGTATTCCGGGTCGTGACAAGTTGGTATCAGAGCATTAGATCTCACGAGTCATGAACATGTTTAGTAGAGTCTGGAGGATCGGTACGGAGACGTTTGTAGTTATCTTCCAGAGGCTATGGAGTTTTAAAATTTCACTTCTTTCCTTCTCTATCATGCGATTTTATTCTATCATTAATAATTGAACTATTTTATTCTTGTTCTCTCGTAGATGGCGAAAACAAGCACATCATCATCAGCCGGACAGGAATCGGAGCCCCTTGTGGCAGCTACTACCAAGGGTAGAGGCCGAGGTCGAGCCAGAGATCGAGCCAGAGGCAGAGCTCAGCCTAG